TAATTTTTTTTATATTTATTTTTATGCAATTCTGAGAAGTTTTATTCAGTATTTCCAGGTATTTATAATGAATTCATGTAAAAATCGGTTAATTAATTTTCATAAGATAAAATTTCTGAAAATTTTGATAATTTTTGGGTTCCACTGAATATTTAAGCCAATATTTCCCGGTTTATGAAGATATTTGAGTAATTTTTGAAATTAAAAAGAAACGTTTAAGAAAAATTTAAAAATTTCTTTGAATGTTTCGTATTTTCTTTATTTCTAATACAAAATCATAAAAAAATATGTTATAATTTTATTTATTTATTTTGGTAATTCTCCGTTTTCTGTTTCTGGTCCTTGAAATATGATAACCTGATTGAAATATGATAACCTGACAAAGGGAAATAAAAACCATTAAATTCGTAGCGACGTTTTGATACTTTTATTGTATCTTCTTCAGGCTACAAAATAGTCGCTTAGTTTTTCATTATTTTGGTATTTTCAGAAAATTTTCTCGTTATTTCTAATAATTCCATAAGTTTTTTAGGACTTTTTGGGATTCTCAGATCTAACACAGCTCTCACTGACATAATTTTTAAATAATTCCGAGATGAAACAATTGTATCCTCTCGAGAGAAACACTTGATAATTCCCCGTAATTAAGTACAAATTCACTGATATTATCAGTAATTATAATAAAATATTAAAACGATAAATCTTGACGCAATTCTCTTCCGCAAATAATAAAAAAACCGCAACCAATTACATCCTGACAAACCCCTTGAAGCATGTGCTTGACCTCACATTACGTTTACGTTTGCGTAATACATAAACGCGGCATCATAATGTCGATAACCGGCGTGTGATTGGCCACGTTCCAAAACAAATCCGACCTATTTTCACACGTTACGTCAGTGTGAACATCCCTCTAGTGAATGATATCGACCAAAAGTTGGTATTCTTGGCCTTCTAATCCCGGTAAACACAAAACCGAAACCATCCGAAAACACACGATTGCGAGTTTTATGCACGTTGTACGCACTTTACGCCCCCCGGGGGCGGCGGCGAATCGATTGAGTGACAGATGGCGGCGGCGCCGCCACTATCACTTTTCATTAAAAAAAAAAAAAATTGACAAGTGAATGGCCTTTGAGACTAGATTGTAGTTCAATTGCCTTTAACCGATAAGATTCTCACATGCAACGATCATTAAATGGGGTATTATATTCTATTTGCCATCTTAATAAAGAAAACAACAAGGAGATAAGAGGGTTCATGCATATTGCATTATTCTTAATCAGGAGGCGGAAAAATGTGCAGAGTTTCAGTTTTGATAAAAATTTTGCTGAAGCTTACTGAAAAATGAGACTAAACAAAGCTCAAAGATGGGTTTTGGGGGGCAAACCTGCCAGATGTGTGCACAAAGGGCCTAATGATATTAAAAGTGAGTAACTGGAGGCGTTTCAGCAACAGCTGTGCTGTAATTTCTAAATAATAAAATTTTTCTGATCTTTTTATTGCTGAAACGTGTGGCATTGCATTGCCAACCAAGGATATCTTATTGTGTTTATCGAGGAAATGCAACTAGAAGGCCAGTCTGTAATTTACAAGACTTCAGTTAGAAAGTTTAGTTTTCAGACATCTGCAGAAAAATCGCCCACATCGATTAATAAATTGATGCGGGAATGTTAACATTATATAAGATCCACCACCTGTTGAATATCTTAAAAAAGTCGAACACTAATATTTTATCATGTCTCTTTTTGAATTTATTACAGTCGAGGAAAATAAGAAAAATAAAGTGTGTAAATACTGTTCCACAACCTTGTTAAATTGGAAAAATACTTTTTTTCAATGTCAATGTCAGCAACTTTCATTTATGGGAAGGAAAACTAAAATAGGTGAAGCGATTTTTCTTCCGACAATAAAACACAAATAGATTTCAAGGAACAAAGCAAATATTTTAACAAATGAAAATTTTTTAACAAAAATCTTCCTTTTCGCTTAGTTGAATGATGAAAACACCGTTTTTGTAAATTTTAAAAAACATAAAAAATAATAAGCAAAGCTTTGGTTTATCCTTTGATAGAGTTTTCATGTTTTTCCCATATACAGAGTGTTAACTGAAAATTATCAATGAATTTGCAGTGATTTACAGACAGAAGATATGAAAATTTCATTTATTTTGACGGTATTTGAGAAGAAATAGCGATTTCAGTCGTTTTGAGCACTTTTTTGAAAATTTTTGAAAAAATCGGAGAAACTGATTATTCTAAAATCGATCAAATAACGCTTTCTGCAATAAAACCAATTTTTTCATGCGTATTTTTGGAAAAAGCGTAAAAATAATTCCTTGGAGGAACCTCAAAAACGATTTAAAATAATTAATTCATTGTCACGAAATGTATTTTTTTCAGAAGGCACAGAGTTTTGTCAAAATAAACCAAATCATTATAAAATCATGTCTCCCAAGAAAAAAAATTCGTAGAGTTTGCCAGTTTGGGTGAAAAAAATCGCATAATTCAAAAATAAAATATTTTTATAGCATTTAATTTTTATTAGTTATTATTTTCTGAAGACAATAATAATAATTTCAATTTTTTTCTAAAAATCCGAAGACTTTTTTGATTCATTGAAAATTTAAGACTTTTAATTTTTTATTATAAATTTTAGACAATTTTCAATTTGTTGATATTTATTTATACGCAATTCGGGAAG